TGTCGGCTGGAAGTGTGTATGCCATTATTTTAGGGGGAACTTTGGTATATGACTGTGGAGGAATGTTGACTGGAGGAATGTGAACGCTGGGAGAAGGTATCTTAATTTATTTTATTTATTTATATATATATATACAAGAAGATTCATTGGGATTGTGAGGATACATAGCATAGTGATTACATTCTTGTAAAGCCACTAGTACGCGCAGCGTTTCGGGCAGAGTTTCGTTTCGTACATCTACGGCTAGTCCTAATAGTGATGGTGGAATGCTGATGGTTGGGAGTGTGTTGTTAGCACAGATCCTCGTGCTAGATGTGTGGCTACTTGGATGAGACTGTGACATGGTATATGTTGTTGTCTTCATTGTGGATCAGTGCAAATGGGGTGGGGGACCTTTGACAAGCCGCCGGTTTCCTGTCCTCGTCGAGGCTGCTTAAGTGTTAGTGGCCCCTCAGGTAAATATGTTGTGTTGATTTCTAAGCGCAGCTTAGTATAACATTATACCTGAATTTACCTGAGGGCCACTAACATTCTAGTGGCCTCGACGAAGACAGGAAACCAACGGGTTGTCAAAGATTCTCGCCCATTTACCCTGAGGATTTTTTTCAGCTGGAATTCAAAATTTAAAAGTTTTTTGGCATTTACGGCTTCGGTGGGTAGGCGGTTCCGTGGGTTTATAATATTGTGTGTGAAAAAGCATCTCCTGGACGGGTCTATCTTGACGGGCGGGTGTCTGGATGCAGCCAGATTTTGGGATTTCGATACTGATATCGCGATTTTGGGTTTTGATACTGCCGTTTGACGTTCCTATTCAACGGTCCGGATTGTTACGACGCCTGGCGCACAGATCGCTGTGGGTCACAGGATAGTTTTAAGAGATTTTGAACGTTTTCTGGCTGGTTCTTCGGCTGGGGTGACGGTGTTCGGCGCCGGATTGGCTGAGAGGTACAAGGAGTTGGTGGGTCTTGGTGTGCCCTCAGCCGTGGTGGGCGGCTGGCATCTGCTCCCGGGGGACACTGGATTTTAGTGTCACTTTTTAGGGACACTTTGCGTTTTAGCTGGGGCCGAGTTTTGCTACCAAGTGTTCTCTGTGTGGGGCGGAGTCGGTGCTTGTCACCCTGAGGGACTCTTGGGGGTCCCCAATCATCTGTCCATCCGTGTGTTTATTTGCCGCACGGCACATTAGTTTCCACCGATTGACGATTCATTTCTCTATTAGGCTTCGCGATTTATTACAATCGCGAAGCCTAATGGCAAACCTCACCAGAACACCGCCCACAGTGCTGTGTTTCTGGTGAAATAGTTTTGTTTAATTTATATTACTGATTATGTATGGAGGAAGAACATTTTGTTATACGCAAAATTCAGCCCATTCTCCTGTTTAGGTAGTACTTATAGTAACGATGAGAACCATCTTATATATGTTGACGTAAAAGGCAATTAGAAAGTAGAAATCCGTACTGTGGAATTTTGACAAACCGGAAAACTTTCTATTGATGTTGCAAAGAAAACTTAACCTAACCTAACCTTCCTAGGCCTAATACACGTTCAGGCCTAATATAGTACAAATATGGGCTATACTAGGAATATTTAAGATTGGTTTCTAGCTTTACTTTGTTCGGACTATAAAGTGATTAGTATAAATTATACTATCTAATTGTCCATTACGTCGATGTATGTATGATGGTCCACACAGTTACTTAAATTACTATCTAAACAGGAGGATGGGTTATGAAATTACTTGTTAGTGTTTGCCAAGAAGCTCATTCACCGGATTACCGGTGAGAGGAAGTGTTACTGGGCTATAGAGGATAATTCGCCTGAGGAAGAATTATCAAGCAAGATCCGCCCTTGAGTGAAATGGATTGATCCACAGTTGTAATCCTCCGGGGACTGTTCGTTATCTATATACAGATTTGGCGGAGTTGTTTAGTGACACCATTGTAATCTGTATGCATGACGCAGTGAAAGGAACTGAGAGAGTTCGTTATCTTTGGTAATCACCATCAGTACATTAGATAGTGATGGAGATTATCGCATTTGTATCCTGCAAGATTTATCAAGACAAGGATAATAGCCTAGTGTTTAAGGCATAATTTGTCACAACGATAAACCCAGGATGGACAGTGCTTATTGGGGCAGAGGTTGTTGATGACAATAGAAGTTTTAACCACATATTGTGTATAGAATCCATTTGGATTGGTTGGCTCATTTATAAATGATGTGAAGAACACTTTGGTGAAGAGTTTAGAGTTTCTGATGCTACTGATATTTTCAAGATATATATATCTCATGCTAGGTGATAGTTAGAGCAAACAGATGCTTATGTAACTAGAGTAATAGCCTAGCAAGATGGTTTGAGATATATATATGTACAAGGACAATCCAGATTGCTTGATATGTGAAGTGTTGGCGAGGCTGCAGTCGGAAAGTGAGTTGAGGACCTCACCTGATATATCATTTTCTAAATATTTTATTTCTTTGTATTAAATGTTCTGCTTCTTTTGAAGATTTCTTTCCTCTTGTCTCCTATGAAATTTTTGTGAGAGAAATGATGTCCTGAGTGCTTATTAATGAAGATTGAGAGGACACCTGACCAACGTGGGAGGAGTCACTTGCACCATAGTGTACTCACCAAGATGTGCTTGCGGGGGTTGAGCTTTGGCTCTTTGGTCCCGCCTCTCAACTGTCAGGTGTGAGTACATGACGACGGGGGTGTCGCAGAGCCTGGTGTTCCCCACCACCATAGTGACGTGATATCTCTTCCCCAGAATTAAATACAAGTCCGGGTGATTCCTTATAGTGGTAACTGGCATAGTTGTGGTGTCGCGAAGTCGGCTAGTTTTGTTTTTAATTATCACCCCACTATATGATATTGTTCACTATTCCAGTCAGTACCAGTACACTACTACAGCCAGTACCAGTACACTACTACAGCCAGTACCAGTACACTACTACAGCCAGTACCAGTACACTACTACAGCCAGTACCAGTACATTACTCCAGCCAGTACCAGTACACTACTCCAGCCAGTACCAGTACTCTACTTCAGTCAGTACCAGTACTCTACTTCAGTCAGTACCAGTACACTACTCCAGCCAGTACCAGTACTCTACTTCAGTCAGTACCAGTACACTACTCCAGCCAGTACCAGTACTCTACTTCAGTCAGTACCAGTACACTACTCCAGCCAGTATCAGTACACTACTCCAGCCAGTACCAGTACTCTACTTCAGTCAGTATCAGTACACTACTCCAGTCAGTACCAGTACACTACTCCAGTCAGCATCAGTACACTATTCCAGTCAGCATCAGTACACTACTCCAGCCAGTACCAGTACACTACTCCAGCCAGTACCAGCACACTACTCCAGTCAGCATCAGTACACTATTCCAGTCAGCATCAGTACACTACTCCAGCCAGTACCAGTACACTACTCCAGTCAGTACCAGTACACTACTCCAGCCAGTATCAGTACACTACTCCAGTCAGTATCAGTACACTACTCCAGTCAGTATCAGTACACTACTCCAGTCAGTATCAGTACACTACTCCAGTCAGTACCAGTACACTACTCCAGCCAGTAATACCAGTACACTACTCCAGTAAGTACCAGTACTCTACTCCAGTCAGTACCAGTACACTACTCCAGCCAGTAATACCAGTACACTACTCCAGTACCCACGAGAATATTCATGGGTAGTCCAGATAGACCCACTACTTAACAATATATGAGGAAGAATACAAATACTACAATTTTTTTTTTTACAATCATTTATTAAAATAGGTTTGGCAGTGCTTGAAAACTAATCTACGTGTTTGTGCATCTCTTCGTGAAAAGCTACTAGGAATAGAGATGATAATAGAAATCATTTTTAAAGAGGTCGGTTTGGTGTTGGGCTTAATTAAGGTCTAACAACCTCTGGAGGGTTATTAAGGCCACCACAACAGCCTAATACACTTTAGTCCTGGACACTGTCCTAGGCTAATGTATACTCTCAGTATCTACACACACAGAGGTGAGGTATACCTCTCTATGTATATATATATATACTGTGATTTAAAAGAGGTGAGAAAATACTGAGACATTGAGAAAGTGGGAATAATTACAGAAGAGACAATACAATGTATATGATCTTAATAAATAGCGAATATGTTTTTTATTTATGAATAATCAGAGTATATTATATATATTTTTTGATATATTTTGTCTGTTGTTAGTGGTACTGTGCACACTAAGTGCTGGTAATACTGATAGTGTTGGTTTTCACTTGGTAAACCAGTAGGAGGAAACAATTTAATAATTTTCTTGTTGAATTTTAAATCATCTAATTGGATAGGATATAATTTTAAGAATAAAAAGTAGATAATTGAGTTGAAGTAATTGGCGAATTATGAAGCTAATTTAATAAGATTTTTTTTTCATTAATTGATAGAAAACGCTATTAAATTTGTTGGAAATAATTAAATTTGTGAAATTAATTACATGGTAAAGTTATAAAATGAATTATCAAATTATTAGCTGAAAACACTTAATTTTGTGAAAGACGAAATTATTATGAAACGTACTAAAATATATGTATAAATAATTAAATGCAAGTATTAAGTAAGTAAAAGCGACGACATTGCAAACATCCTTCAATGTAAGTGATCAACACTTTTAAAAGTGTTCTACACGTGCAATCCAATCCTACAGGTCTATAACCGTGTGATATGAAGAGCATGAAGCGCAACAGCGCACTAATCAATTAAAACAATAACCCGGTATTTTGAAAACAAGAAGAAATGTATATTTCGAACCAAACCCCTGGATCCTCTTCAGCAGTGTTGGATCCTCTACGCCGTAGAGGATCCAGTAGAGGATGAACAAATCAGAGAGAGAACGGCCTATTGACATAGCTCGGGTGCAGGGGTGGGGGGGGTTGTGTAAAAGCCTGGTTTGTGCCTCGGAGAGGCTACGGGATCCAGTAAGTTCAGTAGAACTTCGGTTTCAACCCTTTTAACCCTGTCGTAGCTCAGTCGATTAAGGCAGTGTCTGGGATGCTCCCGGACGCAGGTTCGAATCCTCGTCACGGCCCTTGTTGATTTGTTCATTTGATGCATCACGTTAGTGTGATCTCTGTGTATCCAGTAGAGGATCTACGGGATCCCGTAGAGTCTATGGAATCCTCTACTGCTCAAGAGGATCCCGGGTGGGGGATCGAAATATACATTTACTCTTATTTTCAAAATAGTAGGTTAATATTTTCATATGATATAAAATTGTTCTGCGTGTTTAAACAAATTTTGGCCCAAACTCCGAGGGCGGCCCCCAATCTAAGGCCGGCCATTCCGAGAGCTTTGGACGATGGGAATAAGTAGTACAAAAAATTCCTATTAACTAATAATATCGTGGAAAGGTATATGGTGACATGAGTAAATAAGATCGCTAGGTGAGTTAGCCTAAGGGGTTGGTGGGTGCTCTTAAGAGCGTGGTAAGACAGGCCCTGAGCAGGACAAGACGAGGCTAACAACTCTAGCCAGCTTTTAAGGAGTTGAAAAACTGTCTTAATTCGACCCCCCTGATGTGTCGTCGGGAAGCGTTCTGTCTCCCAAGGTGTCACTGGGGAGGGTTCTGTCTTCCGAGGTGTTACTGGGGAGGGTTCTGTCTTCCGAGGTGTCACTGGGGAGGGTTCTGTCTTCCGAGGTGTTACTGGGGAGGGTTCTGTCCTCCTCCTCCTCCTCCTCGCTGTGGTTCTCAATGCTTACTGTTGCGATCAGGGAAAACAGGAATTAGAAGTTCGAGATCAGTTCATGAACGATGCACAAATAATGGAGCTTTGTGAAGAGAATCAAAACATGTTATATACTTAAGAGTAGAAATAAGGAATACAAATACTTGGCGATAAATATGAAATCCGTATTTAGACGATTCTGAGTTTGTATGTTGACCAGACCACACACCAGAAAGTGAAGGGACGACGACGTTTCGGTCCGTCCTGGACCATTCTCAAGTCGATCAAGTCACATCGACTTGAGAATGGTCCAGGACGGACCGAAACGTCGTCGTCCCTTCACTTTCTAGTGTTTGGTCTGGTCAACATACTTCAGCCACGTTATTGTGACTCATCGCCTGAGTTAGCATTCTGATTTAGTATTAAAAATCGAAGCGCATGAAAGACGCCAGCTTACTCTACAACTCTGCTGTTCCCATAATTGAGTATAAGAAAAAAGCAGAGTTACTCAGATATTACTCAGTTTTCGTCAAATTCTAAGACAATAAAGAGAATTCTTCGTTTATTCAAGAGAGAAGCGCAAAGTTTACCAGATCCAGAAACAATTGACAACTTAGTATTAACTTTTTGTTCCTTTTAAAGTTGCCTGAAACAGGTTATTGATTTTTATGCCATAATACATTTGTCAGTGTATTAGTGTTTTAACAATGATATTAGTAAATTATAATAGTATTAAAATCTATATATATAATCACAAACTACGTAAGAAATTATTAGTTTGCTATAATGATTAAGGTGATATAACAATAGTTAGTGTGTGGGAATTAGGAATGATTTTTTGTATTAAGAAGTTTCTGAAAAAAAAATACAAATTAGCAACAATATTTTAGAGCAGAGTTAAACATACTAAAATATTAGGTTTATTTAAATGCAATAATATGATTATTGCTACTTTATTACCATAGTGTTCTTGCTAAAATATAATTGACATTTCTGTTCAAGTTTCTTAAAATACTGCTTCCTTATTGGAATGAAAGTCACGGGGTTGATATACTGCCAGGTATATCTCGTTTCTCGGTGCATATACACTGAGGGAATACCTTAGTCCTGTACTATGTCCAGGATAAAGGTTAATTGGTTAGCTCGCTGGTTGGTCAATAACCTCTTGTGATGGTCCTACCACACTCTAGAGGTTACCTAGTATACACACACACACGAGAGAATGGTATGGGTTTGTGCTGATTTGTAATGACTGTTTTCAAGCTATTGAAGTAGAAATAAACCAGAGAGTACCATGTACCATACCATGAGAGTAATACTGTCCCATGTATTAATTACGTTATTGACAGAACATATAATAATGAATGTAACTGCAGAAGGCCTATTGGCCCATTCGAGGCAACTCCTATTTATATTCACCCAATAAAGTACTTTATTAGTACTTTTAAATGATACTCAAATGATACTCAAATGATACTCAAATGATACTCAAATGATACCGCATCTATGATAATTCCAGGTAAACTATTCCATAAATCATCAACCCTGATCCCAAAGCAGCATTTACACAGGTATTTCCCAAATCTAAACTTATCTAATTTACTTCCAGTTTACTTCCAGAGTTAGTTGGTTAAGGTTAGTAGGTTAAGGTTAAAGATAGGCTACAGTTTAGTATGTGACTAAAACATCTTAAACTGCCCACGTGTTCCGGTAACCTTGATACTTATGGAATTACAAAATAAAATATATTAATATTATTACAGACAGAAATCACAATAGCGTGATGGATCAAATGAACAAATCCAAAGGGATTTGTGGATTTGTGGAAGGAAATCCACAAAATCTTTTACCATATCGTGGCCTAGTCGATTAAAACAGCGTCTGGGATCTTCTCAGACGCAGGTTCGAACCCTCATCACGGCCCTTGTGGATTTGTTCATATTAATATTATGTTAAATATTGCAAATATTTCTGCCCGTTATTGGTATTAAATATTTATTACGTTAAATAAGAGTTAGTAACTAATTATATTCTGTCTTCCCACAGCTAAGCAGCCACAACTACCCTCTAGTGTAACTACTAGGCCTACCATTCAGCGTCACCACTAGGCCTACCATCTAGCGTCACCACCACCACCACTAGGCCTACCATTCAGCGTCGTCACCACCACTACAGACACACCATACAGTGTCACTAAGCATTATTACTGGGCTCTAACTTGAGCACAGCTGGATATAGCACCCAAGTGCCAGTGCCAGTGCCTCCATCACTACCCTCCAATATCACCTAGGTTGTCATCAGCACCTCTAACCACCATTACCACCACCATCACCCACCTCCGCCACCACCATCACCACCTCCGCCACCACCATCACCACCTCCGCCACCACCATCACCACCTCCGCCACCACCATCACCCTTCTCCACCACCACCCACCCACCTCCGCCAATTTCAGCTTGCAGCATCGCGCTCATGAAGTTTCTGAAGAAGCCTTCCAGTTCCTTCTCGTATTTGTCCATGAACTCCGAGGAGGTAGTGACGCTGACCTTGGACTGGTCGTCCTCGAGGTCCTCCTCGCCCTCGAACTCACGCTGATAAGTGTGGTGGCGTAGGAAATTCCTCATAGCCTCGCGGGTACTCTGTAAGGTGTGGGACGACCCGTTGCAGGCGCTGACATGGCGAGACACTTTGTCGTGTACGACTTTTGTTGTTACTGCTCAGGGGACAGGTCAGGTCGTCCGCGAGGCCGACGACCGACCCCTTTCCCCCCCCCAGGATGATGCAACCCACAACAGTTGCCTAGCTCCCATGCACCTATTTACTAATAGATGAACAGAACCATCAGGTCTACAGAAACGTGACCACACGTCTCGTCCTGCCAAGGGGGTCGAACCCGGGTCTATTCGCTTGTAAGATGACTGTGGTTATGTGTTCTGCCATATGATATTACGGCAATATATTACATATACAACAATATACCATACATACAATATACGAGTATACTTAATGCTAGGGAAAATTCGTAAAAACTAATTATTATTATATATATAACTGGGTAAGTGTAGTGAGTGGGAAGAGTTTAAATGGCTATCCTGTGAACGATAGCAAGACTCAGAGTCGTTTTCGCTGTCTATTGTCAATTAAGCAGCATAAATCGTCCATTGGTGTTAGAGTTAGGCTGTAACTGGCTAGCACCGTCTCGTTCACCTGTAGGAGTGATACGTGTAGGAGTAAGTGATTCACTCCTTATAAGAGGAGTGAAAAGTTCTGAACATTGGAACTTTGTGTTCAGAAAGTTGAGCATGTTGCAAACATGTTGCATACATAAAGACAGCGTCCTCCTCACTCTTTCAACCAACATCCTCCCCCCATTCTATTGTCACCCCCCCCCCCATCTCTCCAACAGCCTGGTTTCATTCAATCACAATAGTCACAAACAGCTTAGCCCTTCCCCCCTCTCCAACATTCTCCATTCCTCCCTCAGTTCCCCCTCTCTCCACCACCAGCCAGTCTCATTCTTTCCCTCTCTAACCCCACCATTAGGCTTCATGTTGTGTCATTGAAGTTATTATCATTGAATTATTATAAATAATTATAGATTTTGCCTTGGTGACGTTGCTTGAAGGCTCTGGTGATGACGTAGATAACACCTGCTGTTGCTTGTAGGCCCAAATAATGCTGTAGATAAAACCTGTTGCTGCTTGCAGACCGTAGTCATGACTTCGATAACACTTCTTGCTACCTCGAGGTGTTGTGGCCCAAATAAACACGAATAATTTAGTCTCTCATAGTATGAGGCCGGCTGAAGTATTGATTGGTAAGTGTATTAATGACCTCGGTACGGAACCGGGTATGGTAGGACAGGGGGCACCGGCTGGGACGCCAGTGTATGCCGTATCCTCTTTAAACTACCACCAATTATGGGAAGCTGGTGGTAGCTTTAATGACCCAACGCGACTGGAAAGTAACAGCGTTGTTACTTTCCGGAAGGAGTCTCGGAAGTTAATGCAAAATGAGTAGTTGCTGAGGAGGGCCAGAGGGTAGGTTATCTTGAGGTTATCTTGAGATGATTTCGGGGCTTAGTGTCCCCTTAGTGTCTCCAGGAAGCAGCCCGTGACAGCTGACTAACTCCCAGGTACCTATTTACTGCTAGGTAACATGGGCATTAGGGTGAAAGAAACTCTGCCCATTGTTTCTCTCCGGCGCCCGGATCGAACCCGGGACCCCAGAATCACGTGTAGAGTGTTGTCCGCTCAGCCACCGGTTCCCCATGTCACAGATGTGGAACAGGAGATTGACAGATTGGCTCAAGGATGGCGGGAGCATCAGTTCTGATCCGGAGACCACATTGAGGAGCGACGAGCCTGGCACTAGGTGACCGTGTCATGAGTGCCATCTCCATATCCTGGTGGGCCGCATCCTCCCGGTGTGGTCGACTGCCCCATCTTGATGCTGTGACGTGGAGCTTGTGAGTTGATATCGTGAGTAGCATACGTCTGCTGTTATGAAGTGATTAACATTAATCCAGTGACTTTTAGAGAGTCGCGTTGGTCTCCAGAGACTAGGATTTTATGGAGGGTAAGAGTGTATAGGGTGCAGGCGATGAGTCACAATAACGTGGCTGAAGTATGTTGACCAGACCACACACTAGAAATTGAAGGGACGACGACGTTTCGGTCCGTCCTGGACCATCACAATCGACTTGAGAATGGTCCAGGACGGACCGAAACGTCGTCGTCCCTTCAATTTCTAGTGTGTGGTCTGGTCAACAGTGTATAGGGTGCTAGCAGGATGCCGCTCAGAAATGAAGGGCTTAGACACCGGGTGGTGTTGGTGGAAACTAATTCTCATCTTGTGTGTTCCCTGCTAATAGGTTAGCTTTGACTAGCCTGGTGCATGATGACTTATTCTGAAATATGAATGTTATATTAAAATGCAGTTACAACACAGGCACACCTGCTGTAGGCTCTGATGATGACATAGACAACACCTGTTGTTACCTGCAGGCTCGAATGATGACACAGACAACACCTGTTGCTGCCTACAGGCTCTGATGATGACATAGACAACACCTGTTGTTACCTGCAGGCTCTAATGATGACACAGACAACACCTGTTGCTGCCTACAGGCTCTGATGATGACATAGACAACACCTGTTGTTACCTGCAGGCTCTAATGATGACACAGACAACACCTGTTGCTGCCTACAGGCTCTGATGATGACGTAGACAACACCTGTTGTTACCTGCAGGCTCTAATGATGACACAGACAACACCTGTTGCTGCCTACAGGCTCTGATGATGACGTAGACAACACCTGTTGCTACCTGCAGGCTCTGATGATGACACAGACAACACCTGTTGCCACCTACAGGCTCTGATGACGACACAGACAACACCTGTTGCCACCTGCAGGCTCTGATGACGACACAGACAACACCTGTTGCCACCTGCAGGCTCTGATGACGACACAGACAACACCTGTTGCTGCCTACAGGCTACCAGAGATGCGGCCGATGCGTGGCCGCCAGACAAAGCCATGTCCCTCACGGCCAGTGTTCCTGTCCTCGCGTGTCCGCGATCTTCTCTCCAGGAACGTTGGTTTATAATTCATTTGTAGTTGAGTCTTGGGATAAAGACACGATTCCATACAACAGCCCGTAATTTGGCGTTGACCACATGGAACAGGACCTAATGGGATAGGACCAAATGAGAAAGGACCAAATAGGAAAGGACTGAATGGGAGATGACCAAGTGGGAGAGGACCAAATGGGAGAGGACCAAGTGGGAGAGGACCAAATGGGAGAGGACCAAATGGGAGGATTGGTCAGTGGGAAGTAACTGTGCTCGATGATTTGAGTGAAATGTCAGCGGATCAAGTCATTTTCCAAATAGTGTGTTTGTGTCAGACGGTTTAAGATTCACTTGGCTGTGTTCGCTGTATTTTGGTCCCAGGGACCTGCGTTGGTGTTGTGAGTGTGCGTTCTCGTCCCAGGGACCTGCGTTGGTGTTGTGAGTGTGCGTTCTCGTCCCAGGGACCTGCGTTGGTGTTGTGAGTGTGCGTTCTCGTCCCAGGGACCTGCGTTGGTGTTGTGAGTGTGCGTTCTCGTCCCAGGGACCTGCGTTGGTGTTGTGAGTGTGCGTTCTCGTCCCAGGGACCAGCGTTGGTGTTGTGAGTGTGCGTTCTCGTCCCAGGGACCTGCGTTGGTGTTGTGAGTGTGCGTTCTCGTCCCAGGGACCTGCGTTGGTGTTGTGAGTGTGCGTTCTCGTCCCAGGGACCTGCGTTGGTGTTGTGTGTGTGGGTTCTTGTCCCAGGGATCTGCGTTGGTGTTGTGTGTGTGCGTTCTCGTCCCAGGGACCTGCGTTGGTGTTGTGAGTGTGCGTTCTCGTCCCAGGGACCTGCGTTGGTGTTGTGAGTGTGCGTTCTCGTCCCAGGGACCTGCGTTGGTGTTGTGAGTGTGCGTTCTCGTCCCAGGGACCTGCGTTGGTGTTGTGTGTGTGGGTTCTTGTCCCAGGGATCTGCGTTGGTGTTGTGTGTGTGCGTTCTCGTCCCAGGGACCTGCGTTGGTGTTGTGAGTGTGCGTTCTCGTCCCAGGGATCTGCGTTGGTGTTGTGAGTGTGCGTTCTCGTCCCAGGGACCTGCGTTGGTGTTGTGAGTGTGCGTTCTCGTCCCAGGGATCTGCGTTGGTGTTGTGAGTGTGCGTTCTCGTCCCAGGGACCTGCGTTGGTGTTGTGAGTGTGCGTTCTCGTCCCAGGGACCAGCGTTGGTGTTGTGAGTGTGCGTTCTCGTCCCAGGGACCTGCGTTGGTGTTGTGAGTGTGCGTTCTCGTCCCAGGGACCTGCGTTGGTGTTGTGAGTGTGCGTTCTCGTCCCAGGGACCTGCGTTGGTGTTGTGTGTGTGGGTTCTTGTCCCAGGGATCTGCGTTGGTGTTGTGTGTGTGCGTTCTCGTCCCAGGGACCTGCGTTGGTGTTGTGAGTGTGCGTTCTCGTCCCAGGGACCTGCGTTGGTGTTGTGAGTGTGCGTTCTCGTCCCAGGGACCTGCGTTGGTGTTGTGAGTGTGCGTTCTCGTCCCAGGGACCTGCGTTGGTGTTGTGTGTGTGGGTTCTTGTCCCAGGGATCTGCGTTGGTGTTGTGTGTGTGCGTTCTCGTCCCAGGGACCTGCGTTGGTGTTGTGAGTGTGCGTTCTCGTCCCAGGGATCTGCGTTGGTGTTGTGAGTGTGCGTTCTCGTCCCAGGGACCTGCGTTGGTGTTGTGTGTGTGCGTTCTCGTCCCAGGGACCTGCGTTGGTGTTGTGAGTGTGCGTTCTCGTCCCAGGGATCTGCGTTGGTGTTGTGAGTGTGCGTTCTCGTCCCAGGGACCTGCGTTGGTGTTGTGAGTGTGCGTTCTCGTCCCAGGGATCTGCGTTGGTGTTGTGAGTGTGCGTTCTCGTCCCAGGGACCTGCGTTGGTGTTGTGAGTGTGCGTTCTCGTCCCAGGGACCTGCGTTGGTGTTGTGAGTGTGCGTTCTCGTCCCAGGGACCTGCGTTGGTGTTGTGAGTGTGCGTTCTCGTCCCAGGGACCTGCGTTGGTGTTGTGAGTGTGCGTTCTCGTCCCAGGGACCTGCGTTGGTGTTGTGTGTGTGGGTGCCTCAGGGATCCCCCTGTACGTGTTGGTGGTTCTAGTCATGTGCCAGCAGCACAGGACCGGGTTGTGGGTGTCAATTAGCCTCCTTGGCCTACTATTGTGCCTCCGCTCCCGGCTACGCCTCGGAGGAGGTTACATAGCGTTTATGGTGTGTCTCATGTCCCCCCCTCTCTCCCTTTTAAGGTGTTCTTCGTGTCTGTCTGTCTCTCTCTCCTTCGTAGTCGTTCCTTCCTTCCTTGCAGAAGTCATTTCCACACACCGCACAATGTCCTTGTGTTATCCCCCAACAGAATTGATCCCCTTCGCGTCCCTCGTCCCCTCTAAAGCCTCACGTCCCCTCGCTTCCCTTCAGTCTTGAACCCTCACCTGTACCACAACCTGGGGCTGCTCCTGCTGCTCCTGCTCCCCTTCCTTCCGTTCCTCTTCCTCTTGAGCCTTGAGGTCCACCTCCACGTAAGTCATATCGGGGTTCCTGAGGCGAGCCATGATGAACTGCTCCTCCGGGTGGTCCTCGTGGTCGTGTGTGAGTTGTTCTCCTGTCGATAAGAAGCTTCTTTAGCGGAAGTTTGAGGCACATATAAGGATTTATGTGAGTTTGCCATGACATGGTTAATATATGTTACAGAAAACGGAAGCAGAAACGGAGTTAAAGGGCAATACATGTTATAAATTTGTTATTAGTTATCAATTTTTGGACTCTCTAATACCTTATTTGTTTTCTTTAGTTTGTTTCAATATTTTGACGAATCCTGGTCAATGTGTGATATGTAATTACTAGAATAAATTATTGTTTCACAGCCTAACTCAGGATAGGTCAATAATTATGGATTTGAAGTAGGTCATTAATGTGGTAACACTGTGACCCATTATTTCACGAGAAAGAATGCTTGCCATTGGCACCACTGTGTAGGCCTCTGTAGGCAACTGTGGTGTAGTTATACAAGGTTGTTGGTTAAGAGTAACAACTCATTGAAAACGTTATTAACGTTTGAAAACGTTATTAACGTTTGAAAACGTTATTATTCATTGAAACGTTATTAAAAGACCTATAGATTGTGTAAATAATCCTCTCTGTTGTATATTATCGTCTCTATGGCCTTGTTATCGATCCCGAGTACAAAACTAGGAGAGTACACACACACATAGGGGGGTCTGGTAGCTGAGTAGGCAGCGTGCGGGATTCGTAATCCTGTGACCCGGGTTCGATTCCCAGCACCGACAGAGACAAATGGAGAGAGAGAGTTTCTTTCAGCCCCTGTTACCTAGCAGTAAATAGGTACCTGGGAGTTAGACAGCTGTCATGGGCTGCTTCCTGTGTGTGTGTCATCACACACATCACCCTTTCCAGGTGATGGGACTCACCCGTCACCTGGAAGGGGGAACTCACCCGTCACCTAGAAGGGGGAACTCACCCGTCACCTGGAAGGGGGAACTCATCCGTCACCTGGAAGGGGGAACTCCCCCGTCACCTGGAAGGGGGGAACTCACCCGTCACCTGGAAGGGGGGGACTCACCCATCACCTGGAAGGGGGAACTCATCCGTCACCTGGAAGGGGGGAACTCACCCGTCACCTGGAAGGGGGAACTCACCCGTCACCTGGAAGGGGGGAACTCACCCGTCACCTGGAAGGGGGGACTCACCCGTCACCTGGAAGGGGGGACTTACCCGTCACCTGGAAGAGGGGACTCACCCGTCACCTGGAAGAGGGAACTCACCCGTCACCTGGAAGGGGGACTCACCCATCACCTGGAAGGGGGGGAACTTACCCGTCACCTGGAAGGGGGAACTCACCCAGATTCCTGAGGTCCTGATGCATCTTCCTAAGCCTCACGAGGGCCATGTCATCAAACCAGGAGCCGCCACGCACGATGGGACGGAGTTCCTTAGGCAGGGCGTCCGCCTCCTTCTGCGACACAGTCATGGCCGCGCCCTCCTGCACCGCCGCCGCCACCACCAACACCACCGCCAACACCACCTGCAGGAAAGGAGATGGAGTGAAGATGTATCGCAACGTCTCCGCCGTCACCAACAACGCTGCAACGCCAGATGTTGATAATCGGTTTTGATCTTAACACTTGCAACATTTAGTGACTGATTCTGTTACGTCAATGGGTCTAGTTTCCTGAGTCTATTGCTGGGAATAGTTTCCTGAGTCTATTGAATGCTGGGAATAGTTTCCTGAGTCTATTGAACGCTGGGAATAGTTTCCTGAGTCTATTGAACGCTGGGAATAGTTTCCTGAGTCTATTGAACGCTGGGAATAGTTTACTGAGTCTATTGAACGTTGGGAATAGTTTCCTGAGTCTATTGACCGCTGGGAATAGTTTCCTGAGTCTATTGAATGCTGGGAATAGTTCCCTGAGTCTACTGAACGCTGAGAATAGTTTCCTGAGTCTATTGAACGCTTGGAATAGTTTCCTGAGTCTATTGAACGCTGGGAATAGTTTCCTGAGTCTATTGAACGCTGGGAATAGTTTCCTGAGTCTATTGAATGCTGGGAATAGTTTCCTGAGTCTATTGAACGCTGGGAATAGTTTACTGAGTCTATTGAACGTTGGGAATAGTTTCCTGAGTCTATTGACCGCTGGGAATAGTTTCCTGAGTCTATTGAATGCTGGGAATAGTTCCCTGAGTCTATTGAACGCTGAGAATAGTTTCCTGAGTCTATTGAACGCTGGGAATAGTTTCCCTGAGTCTATTGATTGCTGGGAATAGTTTCCTGAGTCTATTGAACGCTGGGAATAGTTTCCTGAGTCTATTGAACGCTGGGAATAGTTCCCTGAGTCTATTGAACGCTGGGAATAGTTTCCTGAGTCTATTGAACGCTGGGAATAGTTTCCTGAGTCTATTGAACGCTGGGAATAGTTTCCCTGAGTCTATTGAACGCTGGGAATAGTTTCCCTGAGTCTATTGAACGCTGGGAATAGTTTCCTGAGTCTATTGAACGCTGGGAATAGTTTCCTGAGTCTATTGAACGCTGAGAATAGTTTCCTGAGTCTATTGAACGCTGGGAATAGTTTCCTGAGTCTATTGAACGCTGGAAATAGTTTCCTGAGTCTATTGAACGCTGGGAATAGTTTCCTGAGTCTATTGAACGCTGGGAATAGTTTCCTGAGTCTATTGATTGCTGGGAATAGTTTCCTGAGTCTATTGATTGCTGGGAATAGTTTCCCCTGGGGGCCGGGCCTTACCTAACCCTAGTAGTTGGATACTCCATTACCTCAAACATTTGACCCTACAGAGCAAGCACGAGTTTATAAGTTACTTTGTCTCACGTATAACTGTGTGTCCACATGTACCTTGGCACCACTTAGATTCCTCTAACCTCATATTTCTTGGTTAGGCAAGTGCATGACTCTGTACTAGATCTTAAGTCTTTTCCACTGCACCTGGAAGGTAGGGAACCTGATGTAAAGTAGGCAGGTGTTCTGGCTTGAACATGTGTTAACACCTGAGCTGTTGTTGACGGGTGTTCCCAGGGCAGGAGACAGAGAAGGAAAGGAATTCTCAACTTGGCTGGTCACTCATGCCTCCACACACAGGCATTGTATGTGTGTTGTGTATGATGTCTGCCACAACATACATAGACAACATACAACTGTGTATGTTGTCTGCCACCTCCATGATACTAAGCCAATGGTGTAAGACTCGTCGAGGGTGATTTGACAGTTAAGAAATTATACAAAGTGGACAGAAAACTGCTGTAACGCCAGATTTGTTGTGAATACTGTCACTAGATGTCGTCGCCGTCATCATTCCTGTCTGCCGGGTCCACTACCGGGCGGATATGCATCAGAAAGTCAGAGTGCAAGAGAAAATGATCTTTCGGGATAGGACACGTTCTATACCGTGTCCTATACGCGTCCCAGATATAGGACGCATATATACACTGATATACGCGTGTGAGCTTCGGCCTCTCATGTGTGGGGTTCAGGGTTCGAGACCCCTACAGCCCGCGTGAATGGAAGGGATTGTAGTTTTATTCAGGTGGTGGATGAGTGTTTATGACTCGTATGTTGGCTTCAGTAAGATTATGTCCAACGTACAATGTACACAATGTAACGATTTTCTCATTATATCCAGTGTGTTGAACAATTTCGTATTTATGATAAATCTCAAATGGTATTCTTAGTTGGCTTGTCACCACAGTGTAGCTACACTGTGTTAGATAATGATCCAGTGGGTCTCCAAAATACTGGCATTTCCACTTCTTTCGGAACATGTAAGCTTAATTTCCAACCCATGAGTATCTAAGCTGAACACGGTACATGCCATCGCTTCTATTCCCTCTGTTTCCCTCATTAAAATAAGTGATTTATGATTGGTTCAAATTCTTGTACCACCCCGCAGCTCCTGCCGCTGCTGCTCTATGGTCTCTGTACTTCTTTAGCATTGCTTTATATCTAACTATATGGGAGTTTCCCGGCGGTGCCCGGGTCTTTCTGTATATCTGTCTGTCTCTCTTTGTCTGTAAATCCTGCTTAAAGAGGGGGGGTCAACTACGACCCCCCCTTCCTCCATGGTACGGCAACAATCACATATCTCTATATAAAGTTGTGTGAGGCTAGCCCCTAGCGTCTGGCCACCAACCCTCAGACAGTCACTTATTTTTCATATCTCGTGTGTGTGTGTGTGTGTGTGTGTGTGTGTGTGTGTGTGTGTGTGTGTGTGTGTGTGTGTATGTGTGTGTGTGTATTCACCTATTTGTGCTTGCGGGGGTTGAGCTCTGCTCTTTCGGCCCATCTCTCAACTGTCAATCAATCAACTGTTACTAACCACTAATTTTTTTCAATTTGTTATTTTTTTTCACACACACACGCGCGTGTGTGTGTGTGTGTGTGTGTGTGTGTGTGTGTGTGTGTGTGTGTGTGTGTGTGTGTGTGTGTGTGTGTGTGTGTGTGTGTGTGTGTGTGTGTGGATTATTTTGTTACTCTATGCTAGACTCTGAGGTACATGTAACTATCTACACTACTCATCGTAGTTGCAAATTTCGCAGCTTCATCTGCAATGTCATTTCCTAGTATTCCTACATGATTTGGCATCCAGTTGACATGTATTTGACGACCTAGACTTTTCGAGTGTTTGCAGTAATACTATAACCTTTGTGTTCAGATGATGTTGTTACGTAATCGCTCATGTTGCCAGATTTCAATGACAGTTCTCGAATCTGCATATTATACAACGTTTTGTTATCATACATGTTCCAAGGCCTTTTGAATGCTAAGCATCGCTGCTTGCACAGTGGAATACCCGCTTGAGAGTCTCCAACTAGGCACAGAATGACAATGCATCGTGCAACAATTTTAATGGAATCCTGATTTAAAAAGCGAGAGAACAAAACTACTGGCTTGAATACTAGTAGTTCGAAAGGTCTAAGGCAGTGTCTGGGATGCTCCCGGACGCAGGTTCGAATCCTCGTCACGGCCCTTGTGGATTTGTTCACGTGAAGTTTAGGAGCTGATGCTCGACCCTACAAGTACATCTATGTGAGAACATCTAGGTGAGTACATCTAGGTGAATACATCTAGGTGAGTACATCTAGGTGAGTACATCTTGGTGAGTACATCTAGGTGAGTACATCTTGGTGAGTACATCTAGGTGAGTACATCTAGGTGAGTACATCTTGATGAGTACATCTAGGTGAGTACATCTTGGTGAGTACATCTTGGTGAGTACATCTAGGTGAGTACATCTAGGTGAGTACATCTAGGTGAGTACATCTTGATGAGTACATCTAGGTGAGTACATCTTGGTGAGTACATCTAGGTGAGTACATCTAGATGAGTACATCTAGGTGAGTACATCTAGGTGAGTACATCTATGTGAGAACATCTAGGTGAGTACATCTTGGTGAGTACATCTAGGTGAGTACACACACACTCATACACTATTTGCATAACCTTGTGACGTCATTCCTTACCTTCATGTCTAATTGGTTGATACGATCTTCGAGAGTCTGAAAAAAAATGCAAGATGAAAAACATTAATTTATAAATATAAAGAACTTAACAAAAACATTAACTATTCACACAATTTGTTTAAGTTATTCTATCCTCTAACATAATTATGCTGATTTTTTTTAAATAAATGCCTGATTAAATACTTATCAAACTTAAGACGAATATGATTTGTAATGTTATAATATAATTATCCATCTTGACTTATACTTTAGTCCTTCAAGAAGACCTGACAGGTGGCGCTGCCAACCCCAAGTAAGCAGTAAGTCCAACAAATATGGACTTTGGACTTTGGCCTCTGACATAATATAAATTCTTGGCTCCAAGGACATGAGCTTTCCAAATAGCTGAACATCAAGGATTTACGAAACCTGTACATCTTTCCATAATCACTTGGGCTGTGTCTACGACCCTGGAAACTGCACATCTCAACGTAATTATTGTTGTAAGATCCTCGTAGTGCTTCGGAGCTCGTGAACCGCTTAATCAATGTCAACAAAGACGGCATGATTGAGGAAAGATGTACGGGTTTCGTAAATGGGTAAATGTTTTATGAATTCTGGTCATAATCTGATCAACACGACCAGAAACCCCCTAGACCTACTAATCTCCTGTTTCAGCGCCTCAGAGTGGCGACCCAGAGAGGAAATGCCTATCAGATCCCCAGTCCTGCCAAGTATCTAAAGCCATAGAGATCCATCAGTCCACGGGCTCACCATAGCCCGTGCTACTTGGAACTTTTTGTTCCAGGTAGCGAATACAGAAAAGCACAAATTATATAAGGATTTCAAAGTTGATAATATAAATTTGCATTAATGAGGACTTGCAAAGTTCCCTCGAATGTTATGTATTATTGTCTTTGAGTCACTAACCCTCATTACTGAGGTGACCTTTATAATGTATGTATGTATGTATGTATGTATGTATGTATCTTGTTATCTTGAGATGATTTCGGGGCTTTTTAGTGTCCCCGCGGCCCGGTCCTCGACCAGGCCTCCACCCCCAGGAAGCAGCCCGTGACAGCTGACTAACTCCCAGGTACCTATTTACTGCTAGGTAATAGGGGCATTCAGGGTGAAAGAAACTTTGCCCATTTGTTTTTGCCTCGTGCGGGAATCGAACCCGCGCCACAGAATTACGAGTCCTGCGCGCTATCACCAGGCTACGAGGCCCCCTTCGTATGTATGTATGTATGTATGTATGTATGTATGTATGTATGTATGTATGTATGTATGTATGTATGTATGTATGTATGTCCCGGGCAGGACTAGAAGTTTAGGTATGTTTCCTAACACCTGATGACTCTGGTGTCTAGTGGTAAATATGTACCTCTGGAGTTAGGTAACTGTTGTGGGTGGCATCCTGGAGAAAGCCAGTCAACCGCTGGCCTAAGTTAGGTTAGAGGGATGGGGAACCTCGAGAATACCAGCAGGCTTCCTGTCCCCAACGACGCATTAAGTGCAGGCGAGACAAGAAAAAACAGGACAAAACTAGTGAGAACTGCAATGGACTTCAGCGTGAAAAAGCAATATGCATTGTCCTATTTTTGGTGTGGCGCTAAGTGGGCACCCCGCTGTCCAGGACTGTGTATACAAGACCTTGTTGGGACCCCCTGGCACTATATACGGTCTTGCTGGGACCCTTAGCACTGTGTGTGGTCTTGCTGGGACCCCTGGCACTGTGTGTGGTCTTGCTGGGACCCCCTGGCACTGTGTACGGTCTTGCTGGGACCCTTGGCACTGTGTGTGGTCTTGCTGGGACCCTTGGCACGGTGTGTGGTCTTGCTGGGACCCCCTGGCACTGTGTGTGGTCTTGCTGGGACCCTTGGCACTGTGTGTGGTCTTGCTGGGACCCTTGGCACTGTGTGTGGTCTTGCTGGGACCCCTGGCATTGTGTACGGTCTTACTGGGACCCCTGGCACTGTGTGTGGTCTTGCTGGGACCCCTGGCACTGTGTACGGTCTTGCTGGGACCACTGGCACTGTGTGTGGTCTTGCTGGGACCCCTGGCACTGTGTACGGTCTTGCTGGGACCACTGGCACTGTGTGTGGTCTTGCTGGGACCCCCTGGCACTGTGTGTGGTCTTGCTGGGACCCTTGGCACTGTGTGTGGTCTTGCTGGGACCCCCTGGCACTGTGTGTGGTCTTGCTGGGACCCTTGGCACTGTGTGTGGTCTTGCTGGGACCCTTGGCACTGTGTGTGGTCTTGCTGGGACCCCTGGCATTGTGTACGGTCTTGCTGGGACCCCTGGCACTGTGTACGGTCTTGCTGGGACCCTTGGCACTGTGTACGGTCTTGCTGGGACCCTTGGCACTGTGTACGGTCTTGCTGGGACCCCTGGCACTGTGTACGGTCTGGCTGGGACCCCTGGCACTGTGTACGGTCTTGTTGGGACCCCCTGACACTGTGTGTGGTCTTGCTGGGACCCTTGGCACTGTGTGTGGTCTTGCTGGGACCTTTGGCACTGTGTACGGTCTTGCTGGGACCGCTGGCACTGTGTGCGGTCTTGCTGGGACCCCTGGCACTGTGTACGGTCTGGCTGGGACCCTTGGCACTGTGTGTGGTCTTGCTGGGACCGCTGGCACTGTGTGCGGTCTTGCTGGGATCCCTGGCACTGTGTACGGTCTTGCTGGGACCCCCTGGCACTGTGTACGGTCTTGCTGGGATCCCCTGGCACTGTGTGTGGTCTTGCTGGGACCCTTGGCACTGTGTGTGGTCTTGCTGGGACCCCCTGGCACTGTGTGTGGTCTTGCTGGGACCCTTGGCACTGTGTGTGGTCTTGCTGGGACCCTTGGCACTGTGTGTGGTCTTGTTGGGACCCCTGGCACTGTGTACGGTCTTGCTGGGACCTCTGGCACTGTGTACGGGCTTGCTGGGACCCCCTGACACTGTGTACGGTCTTGCTGGGACCCCTGGCACTGTGTACGGTCTTGTTGGGACCCCTGGCACTGTGTACGGGCTTGCTGGGACCCCTGGCACTGTGTACGGTCTTGCTGGGACCTCTGGCACTGTGTACGGGCTTGCTGGGACCCCCTGACACTGTGTACGGTCTTGCTGGGATCCCCTGGCACTGTGTGTGGTCTTGCTGGGACCCTTGGCACTGTGTGTGGTCTTGCTGGGACCCTTGGCACTGTGTGTGGTCTTGTTGGGACCCCTGGCACTGTGTACGGTCTTGCTGGGACCTCTAGCACTGTGTACGGTCTTGCTGGGACCCCCTGGCACTGTGTACGGTCTTGCTGGGACCCCTGGCACTGTGTACGGTCTTGCTGGGACCCCCTGGCACTGTGTACGGTCTTGCTGGGACCCCCTGGCACTGTGTACGGTCTTGCTGGGACCTCTGGCACTGTGTACGGTCTTGCTGGGACCTCTGGCACTGTGTACGGTCTTGCTGGGACCCCCTGGCACTGTGTACGGGCTTGCTGGGACCCCCTGACACTGTGTACGGTGTGGCTGGGACCTCTAGCACTGTGTACGACCCTGTTGGGACTTGACTAATGTCTATGGCCTTACCATTATGGGTGTGTCACTGTTCACAGTTCCGGAATCAGTGAGATCTTTTCAGGCGACCATGCGTGACTGACGCACACGCTGTATGTACGCACTCACGCGTGTGTACACATGCACTCACATGAAAGTGCGCTTGCACGCACACGTATGAGTGCGTCCGCACTTGAGTTTGCACGCACGCATGACTGAACACATAGACACAGACTCACATATGAGCATACGTAAACATGCACGTGTATGCGTGCATCATTTTCGTTCATGAGTGTACGTAGGTGCGTTTGTTTGCGTGTGTCTGCGTGCGTGTCTCTAGACACAAAACATTAACGAGACGTCCGCAGTGCATATCAACAAGACCAGGCCTTTCTCTTTCAGAGGGACGACTAAACCATTGCTAATTCCTCCAGCATACAAGCACTAAAATCCACGTTAACTGCAGTGCAAACACGATGTATTCAGATGTAGTGTTGTATTCAGGTTAAATAGAAATTAGAATTGTTGTTGCATGGCCCGCACTAGACCTAGGTACCCTACAGTAGGCCAGGGTTGGCCACACCCCCACAATATTACTCAATTTTGCTGCCCCTTCCATTAGCCGACACCCAAAACCCTCTCCCCCCCCCCTTACCCAATATGCCCATACCCATTCATCACGCACAACCCCCCCTCCCTCCCCTTCCACCTCTACTCATGCCCATAACCCCCACACCCCCTCCTTACCCACATCACCTCCCCCCCTCATATAAGTATGAAGCAATGCAGCGACCTCACTTTTTTACCCTGGGAGTGCAAGACGGCAACACCGATCAGTCAGTTGCCAACTGCTGAAAATTTTCGCTCGCGAACGTGAGTGAAAATGAATTTATACGCCTGCGTCGCAACTTAAGTGCCAGACACTCAACTTAAGTGTCAGACACTCAACTTAAGTGTCAGACACACAACTTAAGTGTCTGGCACAACTTAAGTGTCAGACACAAAACTTAAGTGTCAGGCAAACAACTTAGGTGTCAGACAAACAACTTAAGTGTCAGACAAACAGCTTAAGTGTCACATGAACAACTTAGGTCTCATACAAACAACTTAAATGTCAGACAAACAACTTAGGTGTCAGACACACACAACTTAAGTGTCAGGCGAATCACTTAAGTAGGACTGTTGGGAAGGGGGGGGGAGGCAGTTATGAGGGGGCTTCTATCCCCTGGTTGAGGATAGAAGGGACGGGAAACAGGGTAGAGATGAAACAGAAGAAGCTGCAAGACGAAGAAAAACGCGGAGTATCCCTGGAAGGATACAACATCAATGGAAGGTTGATGCCACCAGCACCCACACAAATTGGTGTGATTGATGGCCAATAACAGTACAATCTATGTACTGTCACTGTTCATCAGCCCGGTGCCCTGGAAACACAAACCGAAACTGTCTCTATTTTCCGCTTGTAACAACTTGTAATAAAGTTGTTACATCTTGGCTTAATGTGTTTATGACGTATTGGAAC